CCTTACATCATAAGAGGGGAGAAAATGGAGGAAAAAAAAAAAAAAGTCACAGCTTTCCTAGCAACTTTAAGGCACTGACAGTGCCTCTAGTCTGGTAGTTCTTTCCGCTAGTTCCCAAAAGGGAACACAAAGTTCCTCACTGACTCCCTGCAGAGCATTCCCAGCATTATGCTATTTTTGAGACATCACATTTGGCATAGCAATTGCGTCAGTAGGTGGAGGGAGATCAAGAAGAGACCAAGCATATTGTTGAGGTTCTTCAAATATACACCAACCCTTTGAGTTTGTCTGTCACACAGCTGTGGACAGCGCAAAGATAATTTAGTCTCATATTTCTGCTACCGTGCTATTGTCCTATTCCCTTGGTAGGCATGTCAAAAAGAAAATTGGGCTCAAAAGCTTTATGACCATTAGCTGTGTGTGGCTATTGCTGGGGAAAAAAAAAATAGCAACAGTGAAGGTAGAAAGGGTGAAGTATAGGCAAAATTCTGGAGAATGAAAGCTATGCTGCCAGACTGAAGTTGCAATGGTAGATGTAGCTGGGGTTTGTGTGATAGTCTGCAAAACTCAGCATTGCATATAGGCTTGAGTTGGATTTGGCTTTATCCCACCTACCTGCAGGGAATAAACAATACTTGGTTTCAACCCTCAATTAGCAACTTGGCAATTCTATATCCTTTCGTTGAGAAAAGAGATGAAAGGCTTTGTTTGCAGCCCTGATCTCCTCAGGGGAGAAGTATGCTTATCTTAATTCAGTCAATAATTGTGGTAATTTTTTACTTGAAAACAAATTTTTGTAGATTTAGGAATTCAGGAATCTGTGAAATTCCATTTATGAGCAGGATTAGATGGTAATGACTTAATTGATGTTTGAGTATGCAGACAAACTATGCACACAAAATCCTTTCCATAATTAGATCTTTTCATGGAGTGACAGGTTTTTGTAATTTAGATCTCAGGCAGTAATTACAAACCAGCTGCTATTTTAGGCACAGTCTGAAGCACACCCATGCTGCTTATTTTGGAGCTGAAAACAAACAGGAAAACAGCGTTAGAGCACTTAAACCGGAGAGATGAATGAAAGTCACTTGGGGTAACGTGGCATCATACACAGATACATGTATTACTGTAAGAGTAATATATGTTACTGAAATAAACTTTGTCTGGGTTCACTGTCATGGCTGCATTTACTTGGTATTATTTTTTAAGCATTGTGTTGAACCTCTGGGTTCAAAAAGTTCAGGTTTCATTTGCAGACTGTGTTGCATAAAAATCACTGTGTATTGGTATTTGGGGACCTGGAAGGGTCAGGGTGAATTCCTTCTTCATACAAACTGAGGCTTGCTAGCATACTTTAAATGCCATTCCTATAGTAGTATCTTAGGAGCATCTGGATAAGACACATAATGCAGCTTAGGAACAAGAAAGAATCATATTTAACCCCTGCTCCCCACTCTCCTGCTGTGTTCAAAGCAGACAGGATTCTCAGGAATATAGCATAATAAAAGTTGTCTGTTAGACTGCTGCCTCGTTTGATGAGGCAGCAGGAGGAATATGATATATCAGGCTGGGCATTCTTCAAAGAGAAACGAGGGTTTCCTGGCTGAAGGTAGGAGCTTGGGTGCTTTCTGCCCAAAGGGCTCCTACACAATGTTCAGTTGTTTATTTTTGCAGATTTCAGGATTCATCCACACATTGTATGCTGCCTGTGTCAAGCATGCTTTCCTTAGACAGAGGATACTAAACTTTTAGCTTAGCATCTGGCATTGTTTGGAACTCTGTTTTGAGGAAATAACCTGCTCTAAGATGTTTGCTATTGTGTGAGGGGGAAAAAAAAAAAAAAAAAAAAAGGTTTAGGGAATTTTCTGCCATTTATGATAGCCTAAATGTATTTTTATTATTGACCAAAAATATGCCTACTGTTCTAATAGGTGCAGCTATAAGACTTACAGGTGTTGGCAGTGCCTGTAGGTCCCCAATTCCTTTTCCATTAATTTACAAGATTTATTTATTTGCACGATTTTAGTAATTAAATCCGAAATGAAGCAGCATATCTTTTGAAGGGTGTTTGAACTTTGCAGTTATGTATGATGTTGCATGGGCTGAGTAAGTTAGAAGGTGGGTGAGATTCCTCATGGGTAATGGAAGATAGTGGGTCATGCTTGGCAAAGACTTTTTGGAATACTTAATGCTCTCTTCCTAAAACATTTATGTTGTGAAACATAAGATGTATGAACTGATAGATGAGATTGGAATTGCTTATTTAAGCTAAATTACTAAAATTTGATGAATAATCTCATAATTTATTTGTTGACTTTTCTGTAGTGGATTCTTTTTTCCTAAAGTTGAAAGGTATCCAAATGGTTCAAAACTGTTGCAATTTTAGTTGATATTTTAAAAAATCATATTGCGTTTTTTGAGTACTTAGATGAATTAAGGACTAGATTTTTTTTAAGATGTTAAACTTTTTTTTGTCATTAACCAAGATATCAGTTATGTGGTTAGAGTTAAATTCTAAAACCAGAATTCTCTCTGCTAAACTGAAAATTATAAAACTTTAGGTAGGATCTGAATACAATTTTGTTGTTGAGATTAGTTTCCTCCATAAAGATATTTCTGTTAACGTTTTTTCCTTTGGGTAAAGATCTAACACTAGCCAGCTTATCGACGTTTCTCAAACTTCTAAATGATTCTTTAATAACAAAGCTGTTTTGTGTTAGGCTCTTTGGAGCAGACTGTTCAGGCCTGCCTTATGTTATGGAACGTTCACAGATTGTTTTATTGGAACATAAATTCACAGATTGTTATTTGCAAGTGAAGTGGTTTAAGGCCATGACCTTTTGGATGGTACGGTACACCAGACTGAAGCGTGTGGTTAATTAACTAGGAAATTAGAAATGCCTAACTATAGCCAGCAAATGATTTGATGCTGTTTAAAAGGCAATATCAGAATATTGAGCAGGGTGATAAAAACTGTTACTTCAAATAGACTTTGGTTTTGTTGCTACTAAGGGACAATTTCAACTTTCAGCTCTGGGTGTTGGATCTTCCTATTTGTACAAGTCATGCAAGGGTAGGATTCAACCCTGACCAATCTACAGATTTCTGTTTCAAGGCAAAGTGTGGCTTTTTAAAATTTTGTTTGTAATTTATACAAGTCTCAATAATAAAAAAAATAATGTGTTGCTTATATTAGAAAATGCTGTTAGGACCAACCTCGACAAATTTAAGTCACATTACTGTCAGATGTGACTGGAATTAGTTTGTTGTACGAAATGCTATGTGATTTCCTGTCCTGGAAAAAAGCTACTTCTGGAGTCTCAACGTTTTTGCTAATTTTGTCATGCCCTATTCTGCGTCTCTGCTGCTTTCTGAACCATTGGTTTCTTACTGTAATGGCCTGTGTCCGAGGCTATTCAGGACATTGTCTTACGCTGTCACTCCTGTCTGTCCCTTCAGGCTCTATTTCCAATTTGCTGCAAGTTCTGTTAGGCCTTGCCCCTCCTAGAGCCATAGTCAGTCGTAGAGCCAGTACTGCTTGTTATTAACATGGTCTCTTTCTTAATGTTCACCTCACTGGATATTAACTGTGCAGGATCACTTGCCTTTTGCAGGTTTAATGTTGCAGGATGTCTTATTTGCTATAGATCAGGCTTTTTAAGTGGGGGTTATCAACCTTTTTCTTGGCACTTTTAGTTCATTAATTGTTTAGTCCACAAAAGCAGCTGTCTCAGCCCTACTGGAGTTTTGTTTCAGGTCTGTAGTCTGTGTATAAAGGCCTAAAGGATGGCTTTGGAAAGGTTTATTGAAAAGAGCTGTGTGGATCAGTTTTGACAGAGGAAGAGGTTCATAATGGCTTTTCAACAAAGGAATAGAAACATCCAAAACAGTATTTTTGAAAGACATTAAAAACACTTTTGAAGTTCATAAACTTCCTCTGCTCTAGTCTAGTTTGTGGTGGCTTATGTTGCGGGCGGTAAATATTCCAGTCATTGCCAGGGACAAAAATTTCTATACATGTGTCCTTAGTCAATTTTCCATCTCTCCCGTGATCTTACCAAGCCAGCTCTCTGGAGCACTGATTTCCTGCACATGCGCCTGTATGGAATGCAGAAGAACAAGAGGCTACCGAGGGCCTGCAGGTGCTGCCCCTTGTAAGGGTAATAGTAACTTCCAAACTACAGGACTCTTTGCATGTCTTTGTCATCCATCTGTGTTGTCAAATAGTCCCAAGAAGAGAACTGAGCTGAATTAGATTCCAGTTGCATGAAATTTTGTGGCCACAGTTTATGTCAGTGACCCCATATTAATGCAGTACATGCAAGTAGGCTAGATGTTCCAAATGAGGAGAGACCAATCTTATCCCTAAAGAAATAGAGAAACTCACACTGAAGTAGATGACAAGCACATGTAGAAGCCTTGCTGATGGATATGGAGTTCCGGTTGGCATGAAATAAAACAAGAATATAGCCTTTTTAGGTGCAGTTGTATGGTCATATCACAGGTATAGCTGTGCTCTCTTTTCCCTTTCTTTCTGGGCTCTGCCAGTGGTTGCCTGGGGATTTCCCTAAGCTACATGTCAGGTATTGACAGGAGAAATGCTAACTTTGATAACCTGCCATGTTAAATACTAATTTTGCTAATTTACCACACTATAAATTGGTAGAAGTACTTCTGTAGCTTCTAAATTTTTTCTTTTTTGATATTAAATATAAAAATCATATTTGATATCTCTAAAAATGTTTCTCCAATGATGATTGTGTCCATGGGACTAAACAGGAGGAGGGTTCCATATTCAAAACTCCAAATCTTGTTTGAGTGCTGTAAAATAACTATTGTGTTAACAGCTTTGTCCTTCTGGTCTCATTTACTTACGGAAACAAAATGACTTTGGAAAAAAAGTTGAGTTAAAACACTTCTGAAGTGTTTGCTGTGTGTTTCTGAATAGTGAATTAAACATTAATTTATTAAATACAAAATAGTAGTAAATTACAATTGCACAATTTCTTACAGAGTTTTTATTAAGATCAAAATTACTTGTTCCGACTAGATTTATATAAATAAATCACAGTACATTTTTACTCGTGTTTAGAAGATTGTAATACATATTATAAAATTAAGATTGTTTTTTTTTTCCCTCAAACCATCACTGTGAAAGGAATCATGCATTATTTCTACTGAAACAAAATGCCCACCTAGTTGAGAGAGCCTTGATACAGGTATGGCTCTACTCTCCAAAATTAGACATGAAACATAGAGATACCAGGACTATTTACTGAACAAGAAATAATAAAGAATAGCACGATGTTCATGTGTTATTGAAAATGAAAGTATACCAAAACAACACAGCTCTCTTTGTGCATCTTTGCAAGGGGTATTAAAAATGACATTTGGCCAGCATGCAACGACGTAAAACATTTCAGTTTTACAGTGTCTACATCTGAGAAAAGGAAGGACAAACTAAAAAACCCACACAAAATAATCAAACAACCCAGATGCTTACAAGTTCTCACGTCATCTTCCCTTCTGTGCCATGTGTGCAGTGTTCAGTCAGCAGTTGAGTTTGTCCTGATGATACCTTTCCTGAATAGCGTCTGTCTCTGCCCTCTGGATCAGTGCATTTTTCGGGCCTTCAAGGAGGTGGAAGTCTTTTCAGAGAACCGCAGGACCCTGGAGTTTTCCCAGCTGTAGTTCCTTGCCCAACCCACTGTGTCAGATACTAACTCTAAATGCAGCTCAGCCCTGAATGTGCAGTGCCCTCACACCTTGCACAGCTTGGTTCATGTATCATAAAGCTGTCACTTCCAAACAGAATATTGGTTGCAAGCAAGGCCTTGCAGTAAATACAGCAAGAATCAAAGTGAGGTTGTTACAGAGTCTGTCCTGCTCCGATTTTCCCCAGCACAGAGGGTTTCTATTAAATTCTACAAAGTTGTAGATTGCTTTCTCTACATGCTTTTTTCCCTTTTAGATAAGAAAGCCATTGTTTTCTTGCTTGACACTGAGATGTAATTGACAACGCACTGTTCTAAAGGGAAGAAAACATTTTATTGATGACAATTCAGGCTGAGTTACCTAGTATGTTTTTTTCTTCTTTCTGTTCAAATGAACTCAAAATGCATTAAGTGTAATTTAATTTAGTAGATTTCTAACTGGGTCAAACAGACTCTTCAATTGAATTTCCAGTCCTCTTTCTCCCTTTCCCTTTATCGTTTGTTGCTTTTAAGCTAGAAGAGAATAAAGAGAGTTTGTAGCATTTTTTAAAATTTAAATTTTATTTTTTATTTTTAATGGCAAATAGGCCCCCTCAGTGCTCTAACATTGCCAAATTATAAAACTCTAAATATATCTTTTGTACTTCTGACTTCAGGTGCTCAGTGTTGATATAACCATTCATAATGGTTGATATTTAAAAAACAAAAAAACATCCCAACTATGCCCTCAAACCGAGATGGGTGGACTAAAGTAACCTTACTTTTTATTCTGGTCTGTTGTCTCACTTCAGACCAAATGAGCAGTCTTCCTTTTTTTTTTCTTTTTTTTTTTTTTCCTACCATACTTGCTTTCTGTTCTGCCACTCCCTGCCACAGGTTGCGATGTATGCATGTTGGTGCACTGCCAGGGTTATTTACAGGGGAAAATGAGGCAAAAGAACAGTGATGCTTTTGATGTCTTGTGAATTCCATGAAAATAAAGAAATTTCAGCACTCAACAGCAGAAGGATTGTGCTTGTGAGTATTTTAGCAGGGGAATTTCACACAACTTCCCATTATAATCTGCCTCAGTGTCAGTATCTTGGAAGGTTTTCTCACTGACTTTTTTTCTTCTATTTTTTAATAATACCTGAAATTGTGGCTTGTTATGGAAAACTAAAATTAACAGTTTAATTGCACATTTTTTAATGAGTGAAGAGGGATTAAAATCTTGCTGAGATGTATTTCTAAGGGATTTATTTCTATTTTACTCTTACTGTACTTGTGATACAGCATAATTATTCATTCATGGAAAATAAGAAAACAAATGAGGGTTGGAGGTTTGGAATTATTTGTTTGAGCCCTTCTACTAATTCACCTTTTGGAATCATAGTTCAGAAAAGCATGTGTCAACAGTATTGGGATCACAATTATCTCTTGGTTTCCAGCTGGCTTTCTAGCAGTAAACACTCTGTTACTTCAATGCACTGTTGCATTATTGCACGCTGCTGCTGTCTTCACATTTTAGTACCAGCCCACAAGAACGATACCCTGGGAATGTTTGAGTTCTAGGGAATAGCATCAATTAACTGGAGTATAAAAGTGAAGAGTAAAGCATCCAGGTGTAGAAAACAACTACTGCTCCACTTCTGCACTTCTATGAAGAGGCTGGTATTTTTATAAAGAACACAGTAATGCCATAGCCTGGGTAACAGTTTGTAAATCATGAGTCAGAGAAAAGAGTTAGGAGGATTTTAAACAAAATATATTTTTTCCCTCATCTCTAAGCCTTTGAGGTGTGCTGGATTCCACTTGAATTGCTTCCTGAACATAGAGATATCTTCTTTGTAATAGAACTGTTTTCAAAATCATTCTCCTGATGCCAGCCCCTTGAGCATTAATGAACTGAGTATGGTAATAAAATCTAAAATATTAGCCATTATAATGATATTACTTTTCTTTTTATGCCCTTTTCAGTCACTAGAGACAAATCTTAGAAAGGCTTTTACCCTGTTACATGAAGACAAAACGAGCTAGCTGCATCAGTGTTTTCCTTTTTACAGAAGCTATTGTTCTTTACATTGCCCTGGTAACAACAATTGCGGTGGGAAAGCATGCAGCTGCCTGCTTTGCATCCCAGGTAGGGATGCATGTACAATGAGTTGCCCAGGAAATCAAAGAACGCCACTCCAAAGGAAAAGGTCCTCCTCTTTGCTCATGCATATCTCCTCACATTGGCTCCTGGGAGATGTGCCTGAGCAGAAAGTGCAGAATTTTGCCTGAAGTGAGGATCGTGCATGAACAGTTATAAGCATTGTATTTATATCACTGGTCTGGTGACGTAAGGCTTCAGTTGATAGTGTAGTGAAATGGTTTTGCTAGGGCTATTTTATAGCTGTATTTCTTTGTTCTTCTGGACATGCCCAGTTACCAATCTGAAATGTTCCTTGGGCAGGCTTTGAAGAATTGTTGAGTTTTCCAGGAGTGTTCTTAATAGTATGGCATGAACTTATTTCAAGTTTTTAGATTTGAAGGATTTCTGCAAAGGACTCTAATAACCTTATTTTCATGTAAGGTGAAAGGAGGCACCAACTGACAGTGGGGATACAAACTTTCATCAGAAAATAAATGTCTGATAACAATTGTTCTGGGGGAAATAAAAAAAAAAAAAGAAAAAAAAAAAAGAAAAAAAAGACTTCCAAAGCTATCAATTTACACTACAGCACTTTTTTTTTTTTTTTTTTTTTTAATACAAGAACCACTTCTGTTGCTGGTTCCAGTCCAATATCTATCGCTTTTCATTGTTATCATGTTACCTGTAAAATCTGGGTTATTCTAATGAACAGAACTTATGATAGAATTTGGGTAATGCTTATGACCATACAAATAATCTATCAGTAGCAATAGTGTTGGCTGGAGATCTAATGCTACAAGTGGATAACATTGCACTACTTGAAACCAATAGCTCTTCACACAGTAGAAGACTGAGGGTCCTATTCAGCAAATTTTCAGGGTCCTATGGCTGTGGCCACAGAGGTTCCAGAAGCTCTCGCTGAGTCTAATCCTGATTCAGGAACCAAAATGATATGCTGTGTATATATTTCTCTGCACAGCCGGGATGCGCTGGACACCCTCCCCCACTTGATTCCTGGGAAGGAAAAAAAAGTGTCTCTGTTTAGCTTAGTGACATGAAAATCAATCCACAGTAATGAAATCTAGAGAAGTTAGCCAGGCATGTATGAAAAGAACAGGATGCCTGTGAAAAGGGAAGAGCTGTCAAAACCTAATTGTGGGCTCTGGCTGCAATAAAATTTATTGAAGAGGGAAGACAGGTTGGATATAAGGAAGTAGCCAACTGCTGCTAAGAGACACTTCTCCTGCTCTAAGAGACAGTAATTGTTGCAATATTTCTCACATGCTCTCTCAAGCGGTCCCTATCACTGTTTGGCTAGAGTTGAGAGCTTAGTGATGTGTTTTCTAAATCCAACTCTCACATGCCCAGGTGGGCATTTCTAGTGTGGCATTTCAGTCAGTAGGTAACTTCTCATTTTGGGCATAGAAATAAGGGCAGAACTTCCCCGCTTTGCTTGATAATCCTCTACAACAGACTTGTCTGTTGGCACCACCCTTGCTCTGAAAAGGCATAGTGCATTCCTGCTGCAACAGAGCTTGTGAACGTTCAAAGGCCGCCCTGCTGCAAGTGCACTGCTGTGGTCCTCAGGCACCAGTAATTGCTTATGGAGACCTGGTAACGCTGTAGTATTTTTGCCATTTTGTTACATCTTCCTGTTGCCTGACCATTATTTTCAACCACATAGGGTTGTAAAATTAAAAAGTATTAAATTAATTATTATATTATGAACAAATAAAAGTTATTATTAAAAATAAACCATGGGAACACTTAAGAAGCAATTTAGTCAGATCATTGAATTTTTGTGTCTCATGAATCAGGATTAGCATTCCCTGTATTGGGAGGGGAGAGGATTAGACAGAGGGATTAAAAGGACATCTTTACCCCACTGGACTCTGTGGAATAGCCCCTGAGGATATGGCTAAGAAAGAGTTCAACAGGAATGCCAAATTTCTGCTGAATAGGTTAAAAGGGTGAGGAAGCCTCTTCGGCAGTCATCCAAGCGCAGAAGACCTGCATAACATTTCTGCTGAATAGGGCCCTAAAGACAAAAAACAAAACAAAACAAAACAAAACAAAAAAATAGGAACCTTAAAAGTTTTTCTGATTGTGTGGCTTCTTATTAACGTCTCAGATCTTGAGAGACACTTAAACATATTTTTTTCAGGGCAGTTAGACATCCCTTGAGATTTTCTAGTGGCATAGGTGATATAGTCTTACAAGAGAAGAAGTCAGATTAGATTTTTATATAGAAAAACAGTAGGTCTTGGTTATTCCTTAAAAGAGGTCTATTTCTTTGTATCAATTATCAGTGAAAGTTACCCAAGATCCTAAGTAAAACAAATGAACAAAACCAAACCAAAACAACAACAAAAACCACCACCACCACCAAAACCAAAATGGAACCCTTTATCTAGTGTATAATGTTTGTGGTATTCATGTATATATTAGACATTCAATTTCACAGGAGTGGAAAGTAATTAAAGGAGCAGACTTTGTTACTAATATTGGTGTTTCTAAGCCCTTTTCTAGGATTTAAGAGTATACATGTGGATCTTAGTTTTGTTTGTAAAATTTTATCCAACTTCTGATGCCTTATGGAAGAATTTAACATTATAGTAATGGGGAAGCAAGAAATAAGTCTTACCTCTGCGAGAGGATGCCAGTGAGCGATGGGTTTCCGTGGGTATGAGAGCATTTCATTCCAGTGGTCACGACCTAGACTTTCTGCATCGTTGCCTACTTGGCATACTCCAATGACCTCATTGTGACCTACACTGTGAAAATGTTCCATAATATGTTTTTCTTAAAATTTTACCTTTAGAATCATATCATTTCCATATTTCATTAGAGACATTAATAATGGGTTTTTAGAATTAATTCTAGCCCCAAAATATAATGAACTATAAAATACATGGGTTGGCTCTTTTCAATCAAAATAATTTAATGCCTTCCCCATTGTAGCATGAACTGTGCATCTGTATGCATTTATTTCATTTTTGTATAAGAAGTGTACAAAATTCTTTGATTGTGCTCTGTAATTAGTTGCAAATACAAAACTAAGCCATAATTTTAGAAATGGAGGTGTGTGTCTAAGGAGTTAGTGTAATTGTTCACAAATGGAAAATTGGTGTGTGGACTGTCTGATTGTATGTTCAGTTATTTCAGTTCTGCTAAGCATGTGCAGCTTAGTTATGTTGGTTATGGATAGAAATATGTATTTTAAAATTGATAAAGGAAATTCTGCCTGACAATATGATATATTTTAGTCTTCTACCAAACTTAATATGACAAATTATTTAATTTCTCATATATTGGGAGAAAAATAATGACTTTGTTTCTGGATGCAGATCTACAATGAGAGGTTTTGAGCCAATAGATAATGTTATTTTACAGGTACAGGTATCTCACCGGTCATAATCCATAACAGCTATCGACAAGTTAATTTGGTCAATATTTTCTGGAGGGACGTCAAAGACTATGGCTTCATTGTAAACGGGATTAAGGGTATTCCTCTTGGTGGAAGTTTTTCTTTTCTTTAGTCGCCTTCCTTCACACATTAAAGAAACCTTCACGTAGGGATCTGTGTGAATCACAAGAATAATGTTGGTTTTCTTTTGTTGTATTGAAGTAAACATAAATGGAAAGTAAAGGGAGCAGTCTCTTTGCCCATACCTGCTTGCAGAATTAGTTACCTGTACCTGACTGGAATTTGAGCTTCTTTATTACCATGGAATGACTGGGAGGTAATGGACATTGGAAAGCTTTATATTGTTGAATGCCTATAATGAACAATTCAGGTTCAAGAAGTTCTTTTTTTTTTGTGTACTGACCTCTAAAGGGGTATTAAAATATCTGCTGAACTATATTACACAAGACTCTTTTATACAACAGCCTATGTATCAGTGTACTTATAACAGCATAATTATTACTTCTGCAGATTTGTAGGACAGACAGAAGATGATAGTATTGTACACAGTAGGATTTACTGATGTATGGTTTAATATAATTCAAAGTGTAAAACTTAGTGGATTATGTTTCTCCAGAGAATTATAATTATTTGGGAATTCCTGAATGCAGTTAAAACAAAAACAAAACAAAACAAACAAAAAAAACCAACAACCTATTTCCTTGTAGCTCCTATCTGAAAGCCCTGCAACTGCTAGCATGGCAAAGAAGTCTATGAACTCTTATCTGAATTAGTTCCTCGTTTTCATTAGCAAATTTTGCAGCTGTTGTTGATAAAAGGCTGTGATGATCACTGTTTTGTCCATATGTCAAGAGCAGCAGAATTGGCTCAGTGGCTCTTGGAGACTGTCAAGGGTCAGTCTGTCCCTGTGTCGTAACAAATAGTCTTCTGTACAACACAGTTCCCAATGTTAGGAACATAGTTTGGCGAGCTAATCCTGTTTTGAATCATAGTGGCTTTAGAAATAATAATGTTGATCTCTTTTTGAGAGCAGAATATTTTAAACTGTTGGTTAAAACAGAATGAGCTAAAATATATTGTTTACTTCTCAGAAACCTCTGTACTCAAGTGACTCAAGAGCTTGCAGTGTAAGAACCTCTCTTTAAAAAAAAAATAAAAAATAATTGATGGTGCTGGAGTTTTGTGACTCAGCAGGAATAGGGGACAGAAATCCACCTTGACCATTAAATACATTCCTACCTGATGCTCCTGTGATATCCATTGCCTTTAAATTTCTTGCCTTTATTATTGTAATAGTTAGTCTACCAGCTGTTGGAAGGTAGCAGAGTGAAAACATCAGGTCGCCAAGATCGACGTTATCCTGTTCCAAGGAAAGAGAGACAATGTGAAGCAATAATAACAATTTATTTCCTAACCATAACAGGAGCTAAGGGTAAAATAAACCTTTGGGAATCTACATTTCTGCAAGCAGAAGCTGAATTCTCATTCTGAAACCTTTGCATACAAGATTCACGTCACTACATTTGTTGCTAGACCATCAAAGCTGTGAAGTTTAAATGTGGTTACAGTTTTTAGTACTCAGTCCTTGGAGATGAAATGCATTTAAGTAATGAGGTTTAGTGTGAGGCATTGGAATGTGTTTGCTCTGTTTTGTGTTTTGAAGTGTGTAACATTGTCAAGTTGCAGCAGATCTCTGTGCCTTTCCTTCTGGTCTGCAGAAGGATGCCCATAGTGAGGTTCACAGAATGAACATTGCTTGGGCAGAGTAAAGTTTTCCATAGTTTCATAGACCTAGTTCCTGTAATCCAATATTTCATTCTTGAGTGAAGAAAGTAAATTCAAAACTATGTTCTAGGTTTTATGCTCACACACTGACACAGGAGTTCTACTTCAGAATACCTGGCATTTGTTAGGGTTAAACAGATACTGAGTCTAGAGGCAAGCCCTTGGGAATAGGGAGGCCTGAGATACAGTCTCTGCTGAAATAAATAAATAAATCTCTCCAGAAAATAAATGCAAATAAATAACTAATAATAATAATAAAAGTTTCAGAAAAAGTTGATGAGAAAGAACCTCTTGTCTTGCAAGAAGTTTCTTGTCTAAAGTAGGAGACATGGGGTATGAATGGAGTTCTCCTATGTATCCCACTGAGAAATTTGTTAGTGGGAAGAAGATGACAGATTGCTTCCAACAAATATTTTCTGAGAATGAGTGGAAGAAGCATCCCACTGAGGACAGCAGGTTGTGAAAAAGTCAGTTTTTGTAATCCTTATATTTGTATTGTGAATTTCACCTCAAATGAACTTTCTGATTCACTGAAAGTATTTGTCTTCTAATTTTCCTGTGAAACTCAGTACTGTAGCAAAGCCTAATAGGAAATAGTCGGATGGAAAAGATGGTGTTTTTAAATGTATATACATAAATTTGGGGCCCTTGTCCCGTTTTTAGGCACTTTTAGATAGACAGTCCTTCAGTTTTTGAATGTAGACCTTGACAGAGGAAATGACCATCAGAAGAGGGATATTCTTATACCTTGACTGCCTCCCTTATCTCATGGTACTACTGCTAAGCTCTCCCTTACTTGACTAGAGATCATGTAAGCTAAGTGCTCTTTAAGTATGGATCAAGGGATGCCTTTTGATTTGTGTAAAGATCAAATAATCTGTTGATAAGTCTTTAGGAGCTGTTTGTAATAGCTTCTATCCTGCACATACATGTGCATGTACCCTTTCCCACCTCCTCTTTCCAGTTTCCCTCTCTCCAACGAAGGGTGGTGGAGGACATGAAAGGCAAGTGAAAATACCTTGAAAGGGCTCCTAACGAATCATGTCTGAGCTAGCTGCTGTGCAGACTGATGCCCAGAGCCTATGAGGTCATTGTATGTAGCTTTGAGTTAACAGGGAAGCTGTGCAAGACAAAGAGTTGTGGTCATTGTTGCAGAAAAATGTATGTCAGAAGGGATTTCAGAAAATATGTGCATTCAGGCAGAAATGGGTCCTTTCCTTCTGCTGCTATTGAAGAGAGCTGCTGTCAAAGAAGGGAAATGCTGATAATGTGGGCCCTTTGTCAGTAATAACTAGCTTTTAACCCTGACTTAACTTTGTCAACCGTCATCTCTTCCGTTCTAAAGATCAGTGTTTTGTGGTGTTTGTAAAGCTGATAAAGGCTGTGACAATATCAGGATAGCTGATATGACTCACCCTCTTTAGAGTCTCTTGGTGGATTGTACTTGGAAGCAGACCTACTGCAAGACTGTGCCACTGACTTGCTTTGTGGGAGGATCTAAGTGCTGTTGGAGAAGGTGATGCTCTTAAGTCCTACAGGCTTACAAAGCGGTGTCAGCATATCCAGGAGAAATTTCTCTTGGCTAACATCTGCACTTAACTTTACAGGAAGACATTTGTAGGGGAAAGAATTTTTCCCCACCGTGAAGAAGAAAAACTTCCAGAATTTTAATTCCGCATCTCTAAGATGCTTAGATTCATAGAATCTAAGATTCATAGAATCATACTGTAGAATTCTTTCTTGCTAACCAAGCAACTCTGAGGGGGAACAGAATTTCATAAGCCACTCCAAGCAATTAAGAGAAGTTATCTTTTGGCAATTTGGGGAATTTGTCAGTCTGGCAGATTTTGATTGAGAGGTTATTTTTCAGGAATTGGTCACAAAATTTTAGGAGAAGATAGCATTGTTGAATTATTTAGCTTTCTTCCATCATAAAAAAAAATAATAAATAAAAATAAATAAACTATAAGGCATCTGTTGTTTCAACCAAGATATTGGAATATTTAGAAATTGTCAACTATGGCAGAGTCATTCTGTGCTCAACTGTAGTGCTCCACTTGGTAACTTAAAAATAATAATCATATTATTAAAATTATTTTCAGTGCCTTCTTCTGAAATTACTAATTGTTAGCAATTAGCTTACAGGATAAATCACTCCCTAGTGCTGTGTCAGCAGTTCTGTGCTGGTCTTTAGCTGAGTGTAACTCATCCTGTTAAACAGGAGGATGTGTAATCCTAAAGAGAACTGTGACAATGGACCCTTAATGGCTTCACTTATGATTCCTTGGAGGCAGTGTCAAGAAGCTCAGGTCATCAAACCTTCTTAGTGAAACCTGTAAGTTGCGTGATAGAAAAGGAGTTTCTGACAAATGGGGATGATTTTTGTCATCAGATTTCTCTTGTGAATGACTTATCCTTTCTCACAAATATGTTTGGGTACAGAGAATAGGAATCCAAACATGGACAGCAAGGCATGGAAGGAAGAAAGACGAATCATAGGCCATAAGTTCTCCATTTGTTTCTGGCTTAGAGGACATGCGGTCCTTGAGTTAGACAATTATAAGTTTTTATACCTGTGTCTTCAGAAACTTGTGTCTTGATTTTTGGAGCAGACAATCTGTGGTAGGTCCGCTATCATGCAGTGCCACACTGTGCCACTTCAATTAAAGTATATGCCTCAATTATACCAGGTTCCTCAGCTCCCCATGTATAAAAAGACAGCTACTACTTTTTTTTTTTTTTTTTCCCCGTTATGTTGCAAAAATAAAATAATACTAATTAGGGATTATGATGTGCTCAGATGTAGTTTTATGCATCTCATCAACTTAACCATTAAGGGGAGCACTTGGCAGGCAGTTATGACCTTGTTTTTTTTCTTAAAGTTGCTAACTGTTAAAATAGTTTTTCAAGACACTAGCTATTTTAGAGATTTTAGAGTTTTATTGCTCTGTCAGCTGTACAACTCAGACAATGGTAAGGTCGCATACTACCTCCTTTAGCAGTTATACTGGTCACTGGAAATGAGGAAAAAAAACACTGGAGGTTTTGTGAAATGAGATGATATCAGTTTAAACTTCTAAAACACGTAAAGGATTTATTACCACTATGATTAAATTATCTGTTTATTTTTTTCTTCCTGCTAGCAAAAGAGCATTATACTAAACAACCAAACAACAAAAAAAAACAACCTTCCTTGTTATTTCATAACTTTTACTGGAATTGCACTTCTGTACTACAAGGCAAAATTTTCTGTACATTCTTCTAATCTTCAATAACGCAGGGGTTTGAATTTTGCATGGATTCACTTTAGAGGCGGTTCACCCTGATAAGACAAGGACAAGTGTACTAGGCATATGTGTTATGTCTAAATGAATTAAAAAATACTTTAAGAAGAGCTATCTGCTTTGGGGGATATAAATTTACTAAATCTATCATCTGTGTTGAGAAGTCTGGGTTCAGATTTTAGTGATATAAAATATTAATTCAGTTCAGGCACGTGTCCATGACACAAGTTTTATGCAAAAACCACACTAGAAAACACTTGAGACTCTAATTTGTTTAGGAATGATTGTAAATTATGTAAGGTGTCAAACATGATGAACTTACGAAGTTAGCTCTAAATTTTCAGTTATTTCTTCATAGAATTATTTTGAGTTATATGTATGAGAAACATGTATTGAGGAAAAACTCTTTAGAAATGTTTGATATTAATTGGATTTGCACATGAATAGAAGAGTGTCAGCTGCCTTCTCATTACACAAGGATTCACATTTTAAGATGACTAGAACAGATATAACTGGAAAATTCTGTTTTCATGACATCTTAAATCAAAGAAATGAACTCTAGTCAAGTGGGCATTTATTAATGGCTCAATCAAATTATATATACAGAGATATGATTAAGTAAAGTTTGAGGAAAATGGGAATGGTCTATCTTACACAATTATTCTTTCAATACATCAATGTCAGACTATATTTGATGTTTCAAGTTAATTTGCAAATTGTATTATTTTTTCAGTGTGATTACATTTTTTTGCATTTCATTGTCTTTCTTTTATTCAGGCTTTTCTTAGAAAAAAATGAACGCAATTAAGTAAAAAAGTTTTGAGAACTATGTATGCAAAAATGAACCTGATTTCACTTTCTAGAGGAAAACATCAAAAAACAATTCTGAAACTTGATTCCACTGCAGTGAAGGAATCTATAAGAAAGCAAAAATGTTTGAATATAACTCACTCTGGATTTTATACTGCTTTGGCTACATAATATAATGTTCATGTCAAGTCAAAGGTTGGTTGTCCATTTGTATGTGTATGCAACTGTACAAAGCGTGTATAGAAGCTAGTCTGAGGGGATGAACAAAAAGGCAAAATAAGAAAGGGCACCTTTGAATTCCTAGTATTCTCTCCATGAGATTGTCTGTGTCACAGCATTTGTTACTATGCATACATTGATAAAAATGCTGAACCTGTGTGACTCTTGCATAATTTATACAATGGAAAGTATCATGAGCTCAAGAATATAAATAAAACAACAACAACGACAACCTTATAAGGAGGAAAGAAAGCACTTAAGT